TAGCCTCGGCTATCACCTCATTTTGTCCGGTCATGATGGTCAAGTGGATTAAGGCGTCTTGTACATACCAGTTGCGTTGCTTCTGGAGTATGGGTTCGAGTCACTTCTGGGGTGTGAGTTTTCAGTTATATATATATATATATATATATATATATATATATATATATATATATATATATATATATATATATATATATATATATATATATATATGTCGTACCTAGTAGCCTGAACTCACTTTTCAGCCTACTATCCAAGGCCAAATTTGCCTAATAAGCCAAGTTTCCATAAATTAATTGTTTTTCGACTACCTAACCTAACTTTTTCGGCTACCTAACCTAACCTATAAAGATAGGTTAGGTTAGGTTAGGTAGGGTTGGTTAGGTTCGGTCATATATCTACGTTAATTTTAGCTCCAATAAAAAAAATTGATTTCAAACATAATGAAATGGGTAGCTTTATCATTTCACAAGAAAAAAAATTAGAGAAAATATATTAATTCAGGAAAACTTGGCTTATTAGGCAAATCGGGCCTTGCATAGTAGGCCGAGAAGTGCATTCTGGCTACTAGGTACGACATATATATATATATATATATATATATATATATATATATATATATGTCGTACCTAGTAGCCAGAACTCACTTCTCAGCCAACTATTCAAGGCCCGATTTGCCTAATAAGCCAATTTTTCCTGAATTAATATATTTACTATAATTTTTTTCTTATGAAATGATAAAGCAACCCTTTTCTCTATGTATGAGGTCAATTTTTTTTTATTGGAGTTAAAATTAACGTAGATATATGACCGAACCTAACCAACCCTACCTAACCTAACCTAACCTATATTTATAGGTAAGGTTAGGTTAGGTAGCCAAAAAAGCTAGGTTAGGTTAGGTTAGGTAGGTTAGGTAGACGAAAAAACATTAATTCATGAAAACTTGGCTTATTAGGCAAATTGGGCCTTGAATAGTAGGCTGAGAAGTGCGTTCTGGCTATTAGGTACGACATATATATATATATATATATATATATATATATATATATATATATATATATATATATTATTAAATATGACCGAGAAAGTAAGATTAATAATTCTAACACGAATTTTCTCTATCTTTCGTACACTTCTTTTCACTGTTGGTGGTAATTCAAAAATCAATTCTCCAAAATTCATTTTTATTTCTAGTCTGACGCGACACTTGAGCGCGTTTCGTAAAACTTATTACATTTTCAAAGACTTTAGTTTACACATACACAACTGAATAGAACTTACACATCTCCGATTTGTTTATATCTACATTTGAGTGAGGTGGATGGGGTGAGGTGGCATTAATAGGGTATTAATTTCATCAACACAAGACAGAACACAAAACAATGGGTATTGAATGGAAGTGTTTGTAGAAAGCCTATTGGTCCATATTTCTTGATGCTTCTATATTGGAGCGGAGTCTTGAGGTGGGTAGAATATAGTTGTGCATTAATTGGCTGTTGATTGCTGGTGTTGACTTTTTAATGTGTAGTGCCTCGCAAACGTCAAGCCGCCTGCTATCGCTGTATCTATCGATGATTTCTGTGTTGTTTACTAGGATTTCTCTGGCGATGGTTTGGTTGTGGGAAGAGATTATATGTTCCTTAATGGAGCCCTGTTGCTTATGCATCGTTAAACGCCTAGAAAGAGCTGTTGTTGTCTTGCCTATATACTGGGTTTTTTGAAGCTTACAGTCCCCAAGTGAGCATTTGAAGGCATAGACGACGTTGGTCTCTTTTAAAGCGTTCTGCCTTGTGTCTGGAGAGTTTCTCATGAGTAGGCTGGCCGTTTTTCTGATATATATTATATTATATATATATATATATATATATATAATATATATATATATATATATATATATATATATATATATATATATATATATATATATATATATATATATATATATATATATATATATATATATATATATATATATATATATATATATATATATATATATATATATATATATATATATATATATATATATATATATATATATATATATATATATATATATTATTAAATATGACCGAAAAAGTAAGATTAGTAATTCTAACACGAATTTTCTTGATCTTTCTTATGTTTCTTTTTACTGTTGATGGTAATTGAAAAATCAATTCTCCAAAATTCATTTTTATTTCTAGTCTGACGCGACACTTGAGCGCGTTTCGTAAAACTTATTACATTTTCAAAGACTTTAGTTTACACACACACACAACTATAACTGAATAGAGCTTAAACATCTTCGATTTTTTATACCTGCATTTGGGTGAGGTGATATGTTACAACAGTTTTGGATGAGGTGAAAACAAACTTTCAACACAAGACAGAACACGAAACAATGGGCGTTAAAGGTAAGAATGGAAGTAATTGCAGAGGGCCTATTGGCCCATATTTCTTAATGCTTCTATATTGGAGTGGAGTGTTGAAGTGGGCAGAATATAGTTGTGCATTAATTGACTATTGATTGCTGGTGTTTACTTCTTGATGTGTAGTGCCTCGCAGATGTCAAGCCGCCTGCTATCGCTGTATCTATCGATGATTTCTGTGTTGTTTGCTAAGATTTCTCTGGTGATGGTTTGGTTGTGGGAAGAGATTATATGTTCTTTAATGGAGCCCTGTTGCTTATGCATCGTTAAACGCCTGGAAAGAGATGTTGTTGTCTTGCCTATATACTGAGTTTTTTGAGGCTTACAGTCCCCAAGAGGGCATTTGAAGGCATAGACGACGTTGGTCTCTTTTAAAGCGTTCTGTTTGTGTTTGGAGAGTTTCTCATGAGTAGTCTGGCCATTTTCTTGGTTTTATAGTAAATCGTCAGTTGTATCTTCTGATTTTTGTCTGTAGGGATAACGTTTCTATTAACAATATCTTTCAGGACCCTTTCCTCCGTTTTATGAGCTGTGGAAAAGAAGTTCCTGTAAAATAGTCTAATAGGGGGTATAGGTGTTGTGTTAGTTGTCTCCTCAGAGGTTGCATGGCGTTTCACTTTCCTTCTTATGATGTCTTCAACAAAACCAATGGAGAAGCCGTTGTTGACTAGGACCTGCCTTACCCTACAGAGTTCTTCGTCGACTTGCTTCCATCCTGAGCTGTGGCTGAGAGCACGGTCGACATAAGCGTTAACAACACTCCTCTTGTACCTGTCTGGGCAGTCACTTGGCATTAGGCACATTCCTATGTTTGTTTCCTTAGTGTAGAGGAAAGTGTATCCCTTAGTGTATCTAAGTCTCAAACATTGTCGTTCCAACACCATTTCTGTTGGACTTTTACTGCCAGTTCATAATACCATGCCTATGAGTCGGGGTTGGATCGAGCACGAAGAGGCATTAAAGCCCCATATAAAGTTAGATACGAAAAGAACCCGGTTACTAGTTAATTGAGGCGACTTGTGACTTTTATATTGTGTGACTTTTTGCTAGTTCTAATAGATGATTATATAGATGGTTTTACCAGGAACATTCCTGGAGAGGGTTTGAGGAGTCGTTCTACTCCCGTAGCCCGGCCAGGGGCCAGGCTTCACTTGTGACATTTGATCCATTGTTTTGGTTTAATTTCACATCATTACGTTAAAAACACTAATGTTATGAAATATCAATGTGATTTTTTTTAACAAAGAGAAATACGTTTTATGATGTTTTTTATTGTGAATATCATGAGTGGTTTGAAACACTCTCGATAAAAACGGATTTAATTTGAATTTTTTGCTGTATTTGAGGACCTTGTGAAGCAAGCTTCGGGGAGTGACCAATCTGCGGCTCATTTCTGGTAGTACTATTTGTCTTGTTATCTTTCTGTAGTTTATGAGGCTTAGAATATATCACTAGAATTAAGTTTTAAAATGTTAGTGCACCGTTGGCGATACTGTCTGGGTAAATATGCTTCAGTCAGAGAGAGAGTGAAGTCTTAGTGACCATCACTAAAGGTATTGGTGTGAACACTGCTGCAAGTTGAACTGATTGATGACGATTAAGCCACCCAAGAGGTTGCACGGGTATGAATAGCCCGTAGAAATATGTTTACTCGTGTTTAATATCCTCTCACACATCCGAATGTTGTCTCTTATTCCTCCTCCACACCTCACCTCCCATATATTAACCTTCCCAAACCTGTTACTCCTCACCATTTGGTCACCATTTGGCCCTGGAGACATCTCCCGTCACACAGGGTGCAGTTGCGCCTCCACAGAAATCCAGTATCATCTTTTGATACTGGTAATGGCTCAAAAGGGCCACCACTTACGGGCTATTCATGCCCGTGCCACCTTTTGGGTGGCTTGATCATCATCAGTCAATCAATCTGTTACTCCACCCTTGTTCACCCATATGTCCTCTTCCTCCCCAGTACCCCCAACAACTTGGACTGGACGGTAGGGCGACGGTTTCGCTTCATGCAGGTCGGCGTTCAATTCCCGACCGTCCAAGTTGTTGGGCACCATTCCTTCCCCCGTCCCATCCCAAATCCTTAACCTGACCCCTTCCAAGTGTTATATAGTCGTAATGGCATGGTGCTTTCCCCTGATAATTCCTTTCCCTTAAAAGAAATTATCAAGGGAAAGGACTTGGCTTGAGAACTGTCACTTGTGGCAGTTGATACGAGTACACGAGAGAGAAGAGTCCTCTCTTTCTTTCCACGTACATCTTCTCACCTCTAGTTCTCTCTCGTTGTTAAATCAGCTTGTCTGTCGCTACTCATCAGGTCTGTCCAGGCTGTTTATCATTTCAGTATGACTGCATGTCTGTCTCACCCCCCCTCTCATTAGATCCCTCTAACTCTCTCCCTCTCAACCACTCTCTTCTTCCCTCTTTCTCACTCGCACTATATTTCTCTTGCTCCCCCATATCTCTCTCTCTCTCTCTCTCTCTCTCTCTCTCTCTCTCTCTCTCTCTCTCTCTCTCTCTCTCTCTCTCTCTCTCTCTCTCTCTCTCTCTCTCTCTCTCTCTCCACAAGGTACTACTCACCAGCTTCCTGAGGATGTCGTCAGGGACGTTCCTGGGGTTCTTGCAGATAGCGTAGACAGAGGAGTGACTAAAGATAACAGGCGCCCTTGAGACCTCCAGTGCTGCCTTCATCGTTGCCTGAGACACATGAGACAGGTCCACCATCAAGCCCAACCGGTTCATCTCCCTCACCACTGTCTGGGGTGAGATAATGAACGTTCGGGTCTTCCTGCTGGTTTTCATCAAATATGACGTATAGTGATACATACTCTTTCAATGCTAACAACACTATTCTCCTGGCGTGAACTCTAGCTCCTGGACCCCCCTCACCCTCAACACAGTGTGTAGTCATACATATTGCAGAGGGAACTGTGTGGGAAGACGTAATTGCTTGATGTTATTTGGACGTGTGGTGTCCGGGCTGGTAGTGTCTCCAGTACGGGGCGGACCTGTGTGCTGGACCAGGTGGACTCACCAGTACCTGTCTGTACAGGTGAATGGCTGGTCTTGCGATATTGTAGACAAGATGTTTCTCTTTCTCGTAACCAAGGCAGTTGGACGCTATAGAGAATCATTCCATATAGTTAACGTGGATGTGAGTCACATGTCAGCTAGCTTTCACACTTGCATAAGTTATACAATAATTAACTTGTCAATGTGTTTGAATAATTATACTTGAATATAAGAGCATCTGTTTAATTATCCATGTGTCCACTTTAAATACCGCAGTGATTAGTGCATCATTACGGAGTTAAAGTAACGGAGTTCCAGCGAGAACTATGATCATATAACCTAATCATATGATCATATAATCACATACAACCTCATGCCCCTGAGGTTGTAATATTGGCGTAGTGCAGTACGGCACTTCCTACAGTGATAATCCCCGGTGATAATCGAACACTAACTATTAGTGAACATTTTTCTTTCAGCCTAGATTGTGTGTCCCATAGAGATCAATGTTGTGCTCCCAACATTATAATTAAAAGTACGATGCCAAAATCCTGGCAATTAATTACATAATCATAGTAAATTTAATTTCATGAGCGATATCCATCAGAACATAGTTGACACCTGTCTTGTGTCGATTGATCCTTAGTGAAGACCAACACAACGGACGATGGAAGATTCTTGTTTGTGATTTTTGTCCAAGTCCATAATAATTAATGTATTAATTATCTAGATAACAGCAGTGACTCCACTGCCATCACTTGACTAAGTCCAGGTTCACTGGTGCAATTACCGCACGGCCGCGGTCGAGAACAAGAAGTATCGAACAGTCCCTTCATTTGGGGGAGTTGATGGTGTGCTCTTAATAATAATAAGGCTGGGTTAATCTGAACAATCGCTCTTGGCAACTCTTTCCGATTTCTCAGTTTTTCAACTAGTTGAAAACACATCAGTGAGGGCTGGGGATCCACCAAGGTTGTGAGGCAGCCATCAGTGAGGGCTGGGGATCCACCAAGGTTGTGAGGCAGCCATCAGTGAGGGCTGGGGATCCACCAAGGTTGTGAGGCAGCCATCAGTGAGGGCTGGGGAGCCACCAAGGTTGTGAGGCAGCCATCAGTGAGGGCTGGGGAGCCACCAAGGTTGTGAGGCAGCCATCAGTGAGGGCTGGGGAGCCACCAAGGTTGTGAGGCAGCCATCAGTGAGGGCTGGGGATCCACCAAGGTTGTGAGGCAGCCATCAGTGAGGGCTGGGGATCCACCAAGGTTGTGAGGCAGCCATCAGTGAGGGCTGGGGATCCACCAAGGTTGTGAGGCAGCCATCAGTGAGGGCTGGGGATCCACCAAGGTTGTGAGGCAGCCATCAGTGAGGGCTGGGGAGCCACCAAGGTTGTGAGGCAGCCATCAGTGAGGGCTGGGGAGCCACTAAGGGTGTGAGGCAGCCATCAGTGAGGGCTGGGGAGCCACTAAGGTTGTGAGGCAGCCATCAGTGAGGGCTGGGGAGCCACTAAGGTTGTGAGGCAGCCATCAGTGAGGGCTGGGGAGCCACTAAGGTTGTGAGGCAGCCATCAGTGAGGGCTGGGGAGCCACTAAGGTTGTGAGGCAGCCATCAGTGAGGGCTGGGGAGACACTAAGGTTGTGAGGCAGCCATCAGTGAGGGCTGGGGAGCCACTAAGGTTGTGAGGCAGCCGCTTGTGCAGCGTGAACCCACATTCCATATCATACTAAAACGATCTGATCAATCGGATTTAATCAATTATTTCATCATGGTTAGCAAAGGTTCAGTGCGCTGCACTATTCATTACCTTTCCTTGTCTTTATTCATTCTGTCTATCATTTGAGAGAATCAAATTGCCTTCTCGAGGAACACGATGTCTGTTCCTGACAAGGTATTCAATAGGGAGCTCTCCTTGACCCGCTCCATTTATGTTTAGTAATTAAAGACATTACGGAATGTCTGGCCATCTAAAATATCTTTTTCTACGACTATGACAACATAGCTATGTCTATAGATTTGATTTTGGAAGCCACTATAAAAACTAGAAAGAAAGGAGGCAACCCAGGTCACGTCTTGAACCCTTTTAGATGTGAAAATGTCTATTAGAAATCAAGCATCATAAATCGAATAAATGCTCTCCTTACGGAAGTTCACACAAGCAGCTCAATAGACAGTACTCTATTTGGAGCTCCTTCCTGCCCAACGGCCAGACCGCTGGAAAAAAATTTCTGAACTAAAGCATCCTGTCATCCAGCCATGATCGTACCCCACAGAAATCAGTCACTGATGTATATAATATCGACAGTTCCAACCAAAAAGATCAAAGAAAGAAAGAAAACCACCACTTAATATAACTCTTCCTTGACCTAGTATAACCCTAATGAATACTAAATTAGCCATAAAAAATTAATAGTTTTGTCTTTGTAACATTTATATCAGCCATGGACAGGGTAGGATAGTTGTATATGTTTCTCCGTTGCACATTAAGGTATCCCACTGGTGTTCCAGTAGAACAAAACGTGAACATACTGAGAATACATCGGCCCATATTTTGTTCATTTCATTCATAACAGTTATCAAATCTTTCATTTTTGGTTGATGTGTTACCTAAATATTTAGGCAGCCCATCTTTAGGGTTGCCTAAATTTTAATATCTTATATATTTTGGGGTAAGATTAACCCTAAATAAATCTTTAGGGTTTTAGTACCTTTAACGCAACGTGTACAGTAAAGCTAGTAGGCGGGGCATTAAGAGCTAGACCTCGCTTCCCCGAGGTCACTGATAGGCAAGCACTCATAGGTAAACACACACACACACACACACACACACACACACACACACACACACACACACACACACACACACACACACACACACACACACACACACACACACACTTCTGTTCTTCTAACACTTCTGTTAGAAATTGTTCACGACTTTTGTTAGGCCAAAGCTAAAATATGCAGTGGTTGTGTGGTACCCATATCTTAAGAAGCACATCAACAAACTGGAAAAGGTGCAAAGACATGCTACTAAGTGGCTCCCAGAACTGAAGGGCAAGAGCTACGAGGAAGGGTTAGAGGCATTAAATATGCCAAAACTAGAAGACAGAAGAAAAAGAGGTGATATGATCACTACATACAAAATAGTAACATGAATTGATAAAATCGATAGGGAAGATTTCCTGAGACCTGGAACTTTAAGAACAAGAGGTCATAGATATAAACTAGCTAAACACAGATGCCGAAGAAATATAAGAAAATTCACTTTCGCAAACAGAGTGGTAGACCGTTGGAACAACTTAGGTGAGAAGGTGGTGGAGGCCAAGACCGTCAGTAGTTTGAAAGCGTTATATGACAAAGAGTGCTGGGAAGACGGGACACCACGAGCGTAGCTCTCATCCTGTAACTACACTTAGGTACTTACACTTAGGTAATTACACATACACACACAATGAAACACACACAATATTATCTGGGAAATTATATTCTTCAAGAGTCAGAAAGAGAAAAAGACTTGGGGGGGGGGGGGTTGATATCACGCCAGACCTTTCCGCTGCAGCCCATATCAAGAGGATAACATCAGCGGCATAAGTCAGGCTGTCTTAAGAACGGCATTCAGAAACTTGTGTAAGGAATCATTCAGAACTTTGTATACCACATATGTCAGGCCAATCCTGGAGTATGCGGCTCCAGCATGGAGTCCATAAGGATAAGACTAAATTGGAAAAGGTTCAAAGGTTTGCCACCAGACTAGTACCCGAGCTGAGAGGTATGAGTTACGAGGAGAGACTACGGGAATTAAACCTCACTTCGCTGGAAGACAGAAGAGTTAGGGGGGGACATGATCACCACATTCAAGGTTTCCAAGGGAATTAATTGGGCAGATAAAGACTGGCTATTTAACACAAGGGACACACGCACTAGGGAACACAAGTGGAAACTGAGTGCTCAAATGAGCCACAGAGATATTAGAAAGAACTTTTTTAGTGCCAGAGTGGTTGACAAATGGAATGCATTCGGAAGTGATGTGGTGGAGGCTGACTCCATACACAGTTTCAAGTGTAGATATGATAGAGCCCAATAGGCTCAGGAACCTGTTCACCTGTTGATTGACGGTTGAGAGGGGGGACCAAAGAGCCAGAGCTCAGCCCCCGCAAGCTCAATTAGGTGAGTACAATTAGGTGAGTACACACACACACACACACACACACACACACACACACACACACACACACACACACACACACACACACACACACACACACACACACACACACACACATACATCACAAACACGATATGACACCTTGGTAAGAGGGACCATATATCTCCCTCCTCAGCTCCCTTCCTCTCTCCCCCTCCTAGCTGACACTTTTCCCTCTCTCTCTCTCTCCGTCTCCTTCCATTAGCTCCCCCTCTCTCCTCTCCCTCTCCCCTCTCACTAGATCCCTCTAACTCTCTCCCTCTCAACCACTCTCTTCTTCCCTCTTTCTCACTCACACTGTATCTCTTTTGCTCCCCCATCTATCTCTGTCTGTCTGTCTGTCTGTCTGTCTGTCTGTCTGTCTGTCTGTCTGTCTGTCTGTCTGTCTGTCTGTCTGTCTCTCTCTCTCTCTCTCTCTCTCTCTCTCTCTGCTCTTTCTCATCCTGCTCTCACTCTCTCTCCCTCTCCCCTTCTCCCTCTCTCTTCTCCCTCTTTCTCTCTCCCTTCTCTCCCTCTCTCCCATTCTCTTTCACTTCTCTTTTCGTCC